TCGTGCCCGTGAATGGTGTTCCCGCCTCTGCAAACTGCGTCGCAGAAATTCAAGGGTGGCCAGCACCGCGATAGTTCGCAATATAATATCATTTAGTATTGATCAGTCGTTAGCGCGATGCCGACGATTCTTACCAAGGTAATCCACTCACGCACGAGTGCCACGAAAACAGCGCCCCGTGGCACGATTCTAGGCCCCCCCCCCCAGCAGGCTGTTTCGACGATCAGAGGGACAATTTGTCGTTGCTCGAACGTACCCGGTACGATTAAAATTGAAACGCATTCAATTGGCGCGGGAAAATCGTTACCGATTACCCGGTCGAATGTTCGCCAGAGCTTCGTCGTTAAATGCCTTTGCGCGGTTAATTGCGTCGGGACAGAATTAATATTCTGTTCTCCTCGAGCGTGTAATTAGGCTGTTGCTGAAGCGAAACACACGGCAAAATTGTTAGTCGATACACGGATTTTCTGATAATCCGACGGTTCCGAGGGAGCACGATCGCTGCCTCGATGTTCGAACTACGGTTTCGCGGATCCTCAACTTTGATACTACGTCATTACTAGTGGACTTGTTATTAAGGCCCCTAGCAGGCCCTTAGACGATGGGATTTTTGGTAGTCGAGGATTCCGTCGAGCGCTCGCGAGAAAGACAAGAGCGTAGCCCTCTGGTGGCCACGACCCAATTATCTGAGCATAGGTCGATCCATTTATTTGTTAATATTCGATATCTTTAATTTGAAAAAGAAATACTACGATTCTTGAAAACTCTATTTTTATTTTGAAATTCGAAATCGACTAAAATGATGTTTAATTTTACGTTTCATGACACGCGTCAGTTTGTTCAAAAGCAACGAAAAGAACTCCCTTTGTCGAGTAGTTTATCGCGAGACATTCGCTCGAGACCCGCGCGATGTTTATAGGACGCTCTACTTTGTAGTTCGAAAAACAAAGGAAACATTTCGAACGATAATGTTATGTAGGACATCCATTGTGGACTGGTGCAATTGGGGTCGATGAGATTCTTTTTTTTCTGTCCCCTTATGAAATTTCATTTTTACGAAATATGTATTCGCTACCTGATGCTTCTACTTCGACGTGTCTCAGGATACAGCCAATACGAGCTTGTTTAGGGTTTGTTTAGGGCTAGCTTGGCATGAAGCCACTCTCGAGGCTCGCAACAGTATGATACGCGAAAATACAAGAGCGCGTTTCATAACCGATCTGGAGAGAACCAAACAGTAACCGAAAAGTTGTACGGTAATTTTGACCGGAAATTACGGTTCGAGCGCCGTCGTAAATCACTCGAATTCTTTGAATCGTCCAAAAGGACAATGACGATGGTTTCCTCGAGCAGGAAGATTAAATCGATCCTCCGCGGCCGACGATAATGCAAGGAGGAGCGAGCTTCGCGATGAAATATTCTAAAACTTCATTTTCTGGCTTTCAATTTACCCCTGAAGCACCGTGGAATTTCTTTGAGGCGCAATAAGGAAATATCTTTCGTACAAACAGTAACTTCGTTCTATTACAAATGACAGATTTTATAAAGAAAATTCAGAGCTATTTATTTTCTGTTGGTAAAAAATGAAATGAAAATATTCCTAATACGAATGATGGATGGAAATGGTAGCCCGCTCAATAACCGGAATATTACATGCATTTAATCGAAGCTCATGTTCATGGAACTTTGCAACACACTGACTTCGCGACTAGACAGCTCCGAATAAAATTGAACGTTTTACTGCAGCAGTAACTGCAACCCTATCCTTGTACAATTTGTAAATGTACCGCGGCCGTGCAGAACTGCAATGGCAGCCACTGTACAATACGAGAACGCAGGAAACTATATTTTGATTGAAAGTGCATTTGGGATAATGCTATCGAATCATTCGAATTGCGTATAGTGCAGAGATTCAAAATCGACCAAAATCTCTGACCTCTATACCCGCGATATTTATCTATTTTATTTCGCGTCCTATAATACATCGAATAAAAATAAAATAAATAGTAAAAATTGCTGGTAATTAAAGGAACATGAAGCATGCTAGCAGTGATATTTTTATAATACCTTCTGGAAAATAAAAGAACGCGATCCTTTCGTTCGTTCCCGATGAAAATATGCATCGATAGGATCTCGAGTTTTTTCGAGAAGCTTTTAAACGATATAGTCCATTACGAAAAAAAAAGAAACTGGGAATAATAGTCACGAAGACAAAGTGATTCGGTTCCTACGATCCGTATAACCTTCTTAGTATCGTGAGTGGCGCATCGAACAGAGCCATCAGACGGAGCAAATAACGCGATCCTCGGGTTGCACTGGCTGCGTTTATTCGCCCCTCCCCCGAAAATGTTTTCCCCGGCCCCTGGAACCCGTCGCCGTTTCCCTCGGTCTCGAGGTGTGCCAACACTGACTCGAGTCTGCTGACAATTCAATTGTTTAGACCGATGCTTCGCAAAGTTCACTTTCCCACGAATCCCCGACAAAGGGAAACCATTCTTCGATATCCCAGAAAACAACGTCAAATTACTATCTATTTTATTCGTCTTAACTGGTTTAAAAATTCTATTCCTGGCAAATTAAACAAGATATATTACGATTATAAAACATTTTAAATGCGTAAATAAATTATCGTTTTTAAAGGACCAAGAAAGAAGCGATAAACATTCTTTAGCCTGTCGAAAGCTAAGTTGAATATTGAAACAAAAGACGAAGCTGTTTGCCTAAAGGAATAGCCAATTCGCTGGGAACATAGGCCGGAAATGGCCATAATAAATTTCCGGGTTAAAGTGTTCCGGGCCAGTATCCGTGGCACGGCGGAATTAAAAGATTAACGCGGGTTCGACGAATCCTGAAGGAACTTCGGGAATGCTCAGATATTGCCGGGACAGCCCGCTTGGATTTCACGATTCGAAAGTGGGAAGAGGAGCTTATTCGTCCAGGAAATAAGGACGCAAATGAGAACACAAAGTTGGAAAGGGGAAATAAACCGACGCTCCTCAACGGCCGATCGAAGTCGCGAATCGTGAAGAGGCATCGGGTCCTCGAAATTCTTGGAACTCCGATAACCGAATTTTACTAATTGAAAAGTTTGTAAATATCAGTGTGCTTTCATCAACGGTGGCGAACGTATTAAACAAAAGTCGTTTGTCTATTTGTTGGATGACCCTCGTACGAGTGCAACTCGTTTTCCTCGCGGAGCCATTATTCGCGTTACGAGTGTAACTCGCGTTTATCCTGTTTAGCCGTACTTACGGCAGTACGGATCAATGTTGGACGTTATTCGAATAAATCTTTAATAAGTTGCAGTACTCCAAGATACAGATTTGTTGTATACATGACGAAGCAAAAGGAAAGCGCACCGTTCTTGCGCGAATTTCGTCCTTAACTCGGTCAGCGTTCCAATATTTCCCGTTTTTAAAGCGAGTACACAAGTTTGTTTACGCGCGCTGTTTCACGCTAACGATGCTGCAGTGTTCGTAAGGGGTTTGGCACGTTGCTGACACATTTAGAGGATAAACGAACTTTTGCCAGGAAAATGATGGGCGATCGGTATTTAAAACTTTGACCGATCAACGAAACGGTATTGAAATTTATTCGTTGCTCGAAACAACGTTTAACCAAAACCGACCATGGACCACGAGTCAATATTAAAATACAATCGACTCTCCGCAATGCGAACGAACACGAATCGATGAAATTCTCATCGACGAAAGGAGCCGTCGAAACGTCAAACGCATTGTCCACGCGTTTACGCCGGAGCATCGATCGAAAGGAGTTTCGCGAACTCTGTCAACGCCGAATACTAGAGGGCTCGTTGTTTTTTGCCGAAAACAGCTGTGTCCCGGCTCGTTGGAATTTTATCAAGACGCATCAGGGATTATCGGATCAGCTACGCGGTTCGAAGACCCGTAAAATGTATATGGGTCGGCTGTAAATAAATAGGAGACGCGAGATCGCGTATAAAGGCCTGCCCGTCTATCGAGCATGCGAGTTTCATTGCCCCCGGGAAGGTGTGCAAAAAATGGAAAACGTGAGAAAATATTCGTTCGATATCGACCGGCCAAAAAGGCGACGGGGTTGCGGGCTAAACGTCGTCCGAAAGACCGTTTATGTCATTCTTTTATCGTTGGTCGACTCTAACGAATTACGATGTAGCTCTGATAATACGTGCACGTTTATCACGATGTCGACAATAAAAGGGTTAACGATGATCGTGAACATTGTAAGGCGGCATACACGAGAAGTTGTTTCATTTTTCATTCGTAAGTAAAATCACTAAATTTGGTTTGTGAAATAGGGAACAATCGATTACAAAAAGGTTACGCGAAACGGTCGTGTGTTTCCGCACGTTGGCTGCCCGTGTGACCTGCCGGTAGGTCACACGGACGGTTTCAAGTTTTATTAGCACGATTTAAAAAAAAAAGAAAGAACGAGTAAAAATATTGGTGTTTTCAAGTAATATCAACGAGAATCGATTCAGAAAACTGTTTAGATCAATCCAGAAGACTAAACAATGGTCTCGAATTAAAAATAATTAATGCAGTGGCTTGTGGCCCGCCCCACGGATCCGAACTCGGCTGAGAACCTCTGGGGCATATTAACTCGTAAAGTATACGATAATGCATATGCTACAGTAACAGAGCTTAACAATAGTATACGACAAGCGTAGGATAATATAGAGCTATCGACCTTACGGAACTTAATTAACAGTATGACTAACGGAATTTTTGAAGTTATCAGAGGAAACGATGCACGCTGTTAACCCGTAAAACATTTCATTTCTGTACCGTAAACGAAGCAATATACTAAATGGAATTGTTTAAAAAGAATTCACGTTACAGACCCAACGTGTGCTTCGCGTCTTTATAATCAAGCTGAGTGTAAATTTTCTGACCGTAACGTGTCCATTTTGTATACAGCGTGGAATTATGGAAATTTCGCCGAGCATAGGCGCAGCTGATGCAATAGCAGATACGCGGTCGGGAATTAGGAGAACTCACCCTCGATCGTGGTCAGTTCCGGTGGATCGGTGAATCCCAACGCCAGCTGATCCTGAATGATCCACCAGGACACGAACACCGTGCAGAGGAGTCTGGCGACGGAGTTGGGTTTCCTCGAGACACGTACGGACGACGTGGATGACGGCAGGGACGCCGTCGCGACGACGGCGTCGGTGGCGTGCATCTTCACGATTGGTCCTGACACGCGGCACTTCTCGCGCACCCTTCTATTTCTCTCCCTCGGCGCCCCTCTATACGCATACGTCGTACGCACCGTCGAGCCACCTGCACGCAGGTCGAAGCCTGCCGTAACCGTTTTCGGTATCACATATCCGCGCGATCAGGCCGCGTGATCGATATCACGCGCATACTTCCGCACGTTCCCCGACACCGTTCACGCAGACGAGACAGAACGAACGGTCCGCAAAGAGGCACCACCTTCAGCCTCGCGTCCCGCGTTCTCTTCGTCCTCTGGCACAGCCGATATCGAGGCAAACTCGAGGGCGGAAGAGGCAGAAGGGAAGGGTTCACGGGAACGACACGATCGAGCTGCTCTGCCGCAACCACCACCAACCCCCCACCCCGTCTCACTGCTCGTCCGTGAACGATAGGTTCGGACTCATGGGAACAGATCGGGGGTACCACACGGCTCTATATCGCGGCTCTCCGCCTTCCGGTCGCTCGATCGCGAACTATCACGGGTCTACTCGGCCGTACAAATCGATTTGCTCGATCGTTGCCCGCCCTCTGGGCCCGCGGCGTAACTCGCCTCCGTCCACCCTTGTACGCGGCGCACGAGGCCCGACGGAACCTTTTTTTTCATGAAACGACGCACCGTCCACGATGCTGTGTTACCGCGACGGCCGAGCGTTCACGATGTGGAGCAAGCAAACAACGACCGAATCGCTCGGGGTTGGCCGCGACGCCAAAGCGCCCGACGTCCTGCGCAATGCACGCCAGAGAACCAGCACGCGTTCCACCCCCTTTCGCCACCCAGACTCCCCCCTCGACCCACCCCTCTATCTTTTCCCACCGCCGCGACGCCACCGACGTTGCACGCCCGCGTTCGACGTCGCAGGGGCGCAGAGCTTCTGAGTCATTCCTCGCGAAACAGCCGTCGATGTTCCGCACCGCGACGTAAATATGTATGATCTCCTAGGTAAGGAACACGTCGTCGCCCCGTCGACCCCTGTTCGGAAAGGGGGCCGTGTTGCGGGGGGGTTGCATACGATGCGTGGAACCGTGTAAAACTAACCCCTGGCTAACGACGCAACCTCGGATTAGCGGCGAGATATACACGCCTCGCGTAAATATGGATCCGCGAACAGGGGGTGGAGGGGGGACGGTCCCGACGGTCGGATGAATTTTTATGGCGTTGCATTGTGTAACGTAGGAAACCGGGGTTGCGCGTATAGAGGAAAAATCGCTACTTACCCCACTTTCCTGTCGCATTCGCGGTCTCGATTTTCTCGCTTCGAACGGATGGTTGGTCTGATCCTGGGATCAGGAAACCTGCGACCCGAAGGGCGCATGTCGCCTCTCGACGCGGCCTCTTTGCATAGTTTCTTAATTAGAATGTGTATATGTCGAGGCTTCTCCAATGTGAGAGATACAACTTTCAATTATCGTGACATTGTCGCGAACTTTGATAGATAGAGGAAGGCTCTCCCAGCAAGCACTGTGCAGAACGCTTGCGAGAGAGACAGGAGCGTAGCCCTCTGGCGGCACGATATTTTGTTACTCGCTTGTTATTTGCACGTAATTTATCATACGATAAGATTCGACGCCGTTGGACTTTTTCTCGCGATATCGAGTCTCTTGAACGACAAACTCGACTATCTTAAAGCAAACATAATTCGTGCTATTTATACGCTAGCTATTTATGCACCGGAGTCGTCGAAAATTGGGTTCACGCGTATTTTAAATACACGCGAACGAACGAACGATTTACACATCCAGTCGGGTTCCAATAAATTCCGAAGCGACGGCAGTACGTACTAACCGTCTTATTTCTCGCGTGCCTTCCAACGTTGTTGGGATATCATGATAAACTTGACTTCGCAAGCGTTTCCAGAGAGAGAAAAAATAACGTTGTGTAAGATCTAGCGATCGAGCCAGCCAGCAAACTTACCCACCCCCGTCGAATCCATCGGGAAATACTCTGTTCGGTACATTGCGTGCGATGGGCGCATTATGTGCCGGACAACCATCATTCTGATTCTACATCCTTATCCGATGTCTTAATGGAATCTCGTCTGGCAACATTTGCGATTGATTTCTTTAAATATTTACATACCTTTATCCATTTAAAATACTTGTTTCTACGGTAGTCGAAATAAAACTTTGACTAAAACACTTTATGCATTAAGACAAATTAGAACACTTCATTTTACGGTGCACTGCTATAAATTGCACGGTTATAACATTAGTATTTCTTATTTTTATTCGTTCAAAAATCATACTAATGTCGAAGAAAAGAGAATCGTAGGTTCCAGGTATGTCTCGCGAGGCGTTTAAAAGCGTGTTTTAAAAACTTATTCAAATAATCACCAATTTCCAGCTGGCCTTTGGCCTATCGATCAATCGTGGATTTAGAGAAAGAGAGTACACAGATAAGCCAATCAAACGCGTCGGTTGGTTGTGCACGGTAACGATTTTATCAACGCCTACAAAAGTCAATCACGTTACTGTCCATGGCTACAATTTTTTTTTATTTTATAGTTACCCACTGTCAAAAAAACTACGCAAAGATCGATGAAATTTCGTTAACTGTTATCGGTGTACCAGTGCCCCGAGGCTGTAAATATGTTTTTCAAACACCGAACCCCTTTCTTTCAGAGAAACAGACTATGTACCTTTTAGTGAAATTTTGTTTTTTAATATATTTCAAGCTATTAATTATCAAAATATCTTAGGGCAAAGACAGAACACGAGTTAGAGTTGACACAATATATGTATATTAAACACAAACGAGCTCGTCGATGGTCAGCAACGTGTTAATAAGAATGTCCGAAACAACACCAACGCGTGTGCTTTTGTATCGTACATCGAACTATGATACCGCTGAAGCTCGTTTCCGTTTAATTACCCGCTGTTCCGCCACGTAACACACGTAACCGTGGTACGTGTCTTGCGAGCGAATTTTATCCGCTATCTAACTGGCGGGCACAATAACATTAACATTAGTGGCAACTCGAGCATCACGGGACGCGATTGCAACGTTCCAAGAGTCATTCGATGACCGTAGAGATCGATACGACTGTCTTCCAAGGGGCATCGTGTGCCGTAGCATAAGCTCAACAAGGCAAGCAAGTCCGTGGAGTTGGTTCAACGTCGTCCTCGTCATCCTTTCATAGTCTTACCTATGTCAAACAGTACCAAAACACACTCGTTAGCTGGACTACGAGCCCAGGCGATAATCTAATAGCTTAATCCACGGTCAACTCTGAAATACCAAAGGATGCATCCCTTAAGTTCGAACACGATCTACCAAAGAAACGTTTCGAGAAACAGTTAGCGCTTTACGCTGTGTAAATACAATATTTTTAAGAATTTTTTACCGGCGAACTCGACGCGTACACGTCGTGGTTGAATCTATCAGGACGACTCGCGGTCGATAAAATTGCAATGTATCAAATCGTTTTTCAGGTTCGAAATCTTCCCTTATGAGAATGACCCACTTTTACCGAGCATCGGAGTTACGTAACACGTCTCGCGATCATTTTGCTCGCGTAAAAGCGTGCTGAGTTCCATTAACGGCATCCGGTGAAGAAACGGTAGAACCACCTCCTTTGGGAACGTGTAGCAATCGTCCTGTCCGTATCAGTTCACGTGTCCCAGCATGGGGGCCAGTAATCGTGCTCCTTAAAGACCGACCGGGACCAAACGAGTTCTCTTCCGATGCATTAAACGCGTTGTAGTTGTTGGTGCTTTGCCGATTCGAGATTTTCGGGGGCATGTCTTTGTCGTTCACGAGCAGCCCAGAAAAGTTTCCCCGCGGCAGTCTCGTAACAAAGTTTCTGTTCATTCTTAATGCACCGTTTGTCACATGAATCTTGCTCGAGTAGACCTTGAGGACCCCCAAGGATGAACCACGTGTAAACTTTCGTACAACCCGAGGGAAAACCTTGAAATTAGCTTTCTTTGTGTAACCGTTCAACTTTCCTTATCCATATTTTGCTCAAATGTTTCACCACAAACGAACCACACGAGCAGACCTTATGCTTAGGATTTTCTTCTTATAATAAGGATATATTTGCTCGAAAATGGTTGGGAATTCAGAGGTATGTCTGCCGACCAAAAATAATTGTAATTGACCCCCACAACCGAAAATAATTTTTCCAGAACGATTTGAAATTTGTTAATTTTGTCGAAAAATTGCACACATTCTCGAATTTTTTTCTCGAAAGTGGGTAGGAATTCGGGGGTATATCTAATAACCAAAAAGGATTGTAATTGACCCCCACAACCGAAAATAATTTTTCCAAAACGATTTGAAATTTTTTAATTTTGTCGAAAAATTGGACACCTTCTCGAATTTTTTTCTCGAAAGTGGGTAGGATTTCGGGGGTATATCTAATAACCAAAAATGATTGTAATTGACCCCCACAACCGAAAATAATTTTTCCAAAACGATTTGAAATTTTTTAATTTTGTCGAAAAATTGGACACCTTCTCGAATTTTTTTCTCGAAAGTGGGTAGGATTTCGGGGGTATATCTAATAACCAAAAATGATTGTAATTGACCCCCACAACCGAAAATAATTTTTCCAGAACGATTTGAAATTTGTTAATTTTGTCGAAAAATTGCACACCTTCTCGAATTTTTTTCTCGAAAGTGGGTAGGATTTCGGGGGTATAGCTAATAACCAAAAATGATTATAATCGACCTCTGCAGCTAAAAATAATTTTTTTTCTAATGAATTGAAATTCTTTTTTCACCGAGCCTTTTTTCTTAAAAATGTTTGATTTTTAGTAAATTTGTTTGACCCCGTACGAAAATATCGTGTAATACTTTTTTGCAGGTATCCGTGAGCTCTACTTCGTAAATAAATTTTAATGAAATGCACTCACCATGTATTTCCTATTGCCTATCCGCCTCGGAGCTAGTATGTATAATGAAAGTTCTATTGTATTCAATTTTCCGGAACGTTGAAGTTCTCCGGACAGTACGGCCATTGTATAGACTAACTTCGAATCGATTTGCAGCCGATGCAAGAAGTTAAATGACTTCGTTCTGCCCCGGTACGCTGACCGTTGTCGATGTTATCGTCGATAAGTTTCACGAAGTGTCCGTCAAGGGACCCCGTTCGACGAATATTTTTGTCTTTCCGGTCGACGTTGTAACGCAAAAAAAACTTGTTGAGCGAGATCGTTCCCGCAGACTACTTACCTCCATCGAGCGAACATTACGCGATTACACACTTCGAAGGTGGCTCGGGGCAAAACGGATTACCGTGGACGAACAGGTCGCGATATACAACCGATCGGTTCGTTGGATTACGCAACGGTGCCCGACAGGTCGAAAACCTTTTTCTCGACGACTCGAATCGACGAGAGTAGAAAGCGACTCTGCGGTAAACGTCACGCGGCGCGGTGAACGGACGTTGCAAACATACGTATTGTCACGTTACATATATATATATTTAACATTGTACAGAGTTATAAAAAAAAAAAATAGATGCGTGGGAATGTACATGTTTACACATTTTGGATACCTTTCGCCTCGTCCCGCGAATCACAATATCCCTGGGCTTACAATACTAAAGGTGTGGTTGTTAATACAATTGGAACGCTCCGTTCGCGATCGAACACCGCCGCGTTACTTACATAAACGTTCAATGCTTAGCCTCGGCCACTAATCCCGACCAGTACGTTGCGTATTCCTTCAGAATGGTACCGCTGCAAACGAAAGAAACAACGATATCAGCGGTATAATTCCTCCATCGCGATCTGATATTTATGGAAAACAATTCAGCGCAGAGTCGTTCGCCGACGCTGATTAATTCCACGACGAAAAGGTTAATGGAGATGAAGATAAGCGGAGGCAGAACCAGCAACAACGAGGGGGCGCGTTTCTTTGCGTTTATGATCGGACCGCCATTGTATCCTGCCAAGATTCTACTTCTTCTTGTCGCCAGTATTGATTCCGTGTGTCTACGACGTGTATAGAACGTGCGTATAATGCATATGCGGCTGGCGATGATTACGAGCGCGAAGGAGGTCAGTAGCATAGATATTAAATAATAAGGACCCAAGGACAAAGATCCGAGAAACACCGAGTGTGTCGGCCCGCGAAGAAGTAATTTGCGAGTTGGAAACGTTGATCGGGACACGGTCGGTGGCATTGTTTAAAATATGCACGCATCCGCGACAGGATACACGGTGAAAACCCAAGGCCACGTAATTTTCCAGCGAACGTGTCATCATTTGTACCCCGGACGAAAAAATCGACGCGTTGCGCAAGAAACTTTGTAATCTTCTGCGTTTTGGCTGAGATGCTTGAATGAAAAATGTGCAAAATCGAGGGGGTAAAAGCGACGAGTCTGTTAATTTCTCTCGATTTTTAGTAGTCGCGATACTCCACATCCTATTTGTTCGTAAACAATGAGGATCGTTGTCGACGAAGACCCGGTCGAGCAGTTTTCAGAGGTATTACGGGAACACCGCGACACAGATACGGCGGAAAAAAGAAATTCAGAGTTACGTTTGGTACGACCTTTCGACGTGGAGAAAAAAAAAGTTCCACATCCATCGCGATTCAACGCGGTATTTCGAGTCTAGGAACGGGAGACTGCTGCGGGGGCAATTCAGCCGGGTTACCTTTCAGCCCGGCATGTGAACTTTCTGACCTATAATGTTCCCTGGAAATTCGCTGGCTTATTAGCAAGCCTCCCAGTGTACGCGTCCGTTCGCGTGCAATCGCGCGACGACGCCAATTATTTCCACTGACCTACGCTGTACAATTAGTCTTATTGCGTTCTCTCCTATCGAAGTGGAAATCCTTCATTCTTATCGGCAGGCGACGAATGGCGGGGCACGACTGTTACAATGGCGGTGAGCATGCGAGGGAATAAAAGTAACGCGAACGCTATTGGAGAGAATTATTATTTCAAGCGGGACACTCGATCGCGGGGGTTGCAACCGGTTTGCCAGTCGCTGTTGAAACGCTAGATTCTATCCAACCGAACGGTGTTACGGTATTTTTGCAAACTGCGCTCCGCGAAATCCTCGAGGAACGAGATGCATGTTGGACGAAGGTTCGAGAATAGTTGGATAGGCAAATTTATGTTGACTTTAGCTCGCAATGACGTCTCAGAGACACGATAAGTCTTTAGAAATTCGATCGTAAGGCAAGGGGTTAAGGCGTCGAATTTTCAGACTCGGATCTTTTTATACTTCGTCCTGCAAGAGCTTGGCTTTCTGCTCGAGGCGCCGGAGAGTCTATTACCTTTCTGCAGGTTGATGGGGAACTGAACAAAAAGGTAACCTGAACGTCACAGTGGGGATAACCCTACAATGGCCTTGAGTGGTCGGTTGATTTTCTCCCGACTATGCTATCTCGAGGGTGTGCACACACTTAACCCGATATACGAAGAGTGGTGGTTGAGATGAGGCACAATGGCCGGTCGCTAAACGCTCTCCGTGACTCTATGTGGACGTTCGCCAGGGGAGAACAAACCTCGAACGAGTGATCCACGAAATATAAAATAAAAAGAGGTCGACGAATAGCGTTGGAAATCGTATAAATACAAAACTGAAACGACTAATGTAAAATATTCATCGGAATCTAGATAGACAGCGTACCTAACAACCGCTACAGCGAGGCGTGATTACTAATAAATAGACTGCGGATGTTTATGCATTTATGGGAAATTTTAATCCTCAAAAAACTACAGAATGCATTTAATATGCAAAAATGTAAGAAATACTTAAAGTAAGATACTAATTATTATATTTAAGGGTTAAGACAGAGTTCTATAAAGCTCTGATTTCATTAATTCTATTAATAAAAGTGTGAATTTGCATAAAGATCCGCAGTCTACTAATAAATGTTCGTCGTTGTACGAATGTGACTCTGAATATATCCAATAAATAGAAATTATTTATTCCGGTTGAATAGAATTTTGCGGGTGACGGGGGCTTTCCGGTGGTCGGCCAGTTCCAATTTGAGCACAGCAAAGACAAAACGTCATTTGCACGCGCTGCCCACGCGTGTCACGGAACGTCATTACTTAAAGGGTGTGGTAATTGCTGTTCCAGCTCGAACTTGTCTTTAATCATCCATTTTCGTTCCACGGTACGACCGTTAACGTGACAGAAGTCCGTGGTATTTTGTAAGAGATCGGGCACGATGGTGATTAAAGCCTAATGAATGCATATGAATTCATAGAACCATTCCCAGCACAATATTGCACGGAGTGTCATTGATCCGCCATTTCAATGCATAACGCGATGTAATGACACGATGCAGACGGGGTTGCACGCGAACTATTATCGAGATTTCTCAATTCCAACGAATGGAAACAAACGGAGCATCAAAGGCTCGGATAGAAATTTTGAAATGTAGAGGAGAGTATAATAAGGCATTCTCAAGCCTTTTTCACTGCTTCAACCCCTTCCCGTACTTTAACGAGTCTGACTCGCGATGAAGATTTTGGCCCAAACGTAAACATCGCGTTGGTCACGATTCTTATAATCTCTGTTGCAAAGGATTTGGGCCCGGATTTTTAATTTTTTAAATGACACGGGAAGGGGTTAAGGCTTCGAAGAAAATCGAAAAAGACCCGTCGAGAGAGCTGAGAGCTTTGAGAGCCTCCCATGCTCGCCACCAGAGGGGTTCGCGCTCTCACAATCGCTCGACCGACTTCCCAATATCCCAGTCGTCTGAGGCAGGGCCTGTTAGAAAGCCTTACCGGATGAGCCCCCTAGCAGACCTGGACGAAACGTGCCCCCTCCTTCTCTTTTCTGTCGCCATTTTGCAGATTCGAAACGATTGGAAATCCCGTCGTTGCCTGCCCGTAATCTCGAGGACCTCCGGGTCCCGATCGAAGAAAATAAATTGCACTCACGTGAAGTAAACGCGACCGCGCAGGTTGGGCGGTGCATTCCAAATAAGAGTCGCGAGCAGTTTTGAATTTGGATCAGCGTGCGTGACGGCGCTGCATTCGGGATGGGTGGTCGTGTTCTCCGTTTGGGCCCAGGAACCGATCCAGCTGTCCGTCTCGGGGTCACGTGCCTGAAGGAAGAATCCCTTGAACCTCGAGCCGGTGATCGTCACTGAAACGAACACGATGAAACGAGATATAGGGTTTTACAGTTTGTCAACTGGCAAAAGTCATGGGCGCCTTTAACCGTTCCATTGTCGAGTCTCTCGAGACATCGAGGAAAGGCAGGTTCTGGTCATAGAGCAAACAAGCTAAAAAGCAAAGGTTGCGATAGGAACAAGGGTCGTTGTTCCACATACTCTCTGTTCCGACTCTCTCCCCCCTTTTCTTTCACGCCCAGAGACAATTTATTTGGAACCTACGCCCCGAACCGGTTGACCTCGTTCTCTATTTCGATTCAAATATTCAACGAACTTCCGAAGTTTCAAAAATTCAGTCTTCCCAACGAGTCGAATATTGTTTTTAATTGTAATCCCTCACGCTGTTTGATTTTCTTCGCGAAGTCCCGGATAATCGATGACTTTTAATGCAATTTTGATTGCGTTCTCAGATGTAGCGGGGAAAGGAAGACGCAAAATAGTCTTGCATTATTTATCCGGTGCTCGTGAGAAATTGAGTTACTCGAACAACTTCGTTCGTTAGCGAACACAATCGCTCGAAGTTTCTCGCGCGGCGGTCAAGGTTCCTCGACCATACGATGTCACGGTCGCTTCTAATTGTGCATTTTTTTTTTTTTAGCACGTTCACTGGCCAGACCAAACACGAGTGAAATTACCTACGAGTTCAAAGATTTATTTCGTTTGGTGAATTAATCGTTTTGGCTAGTCGGCGAAAAGTCTCGCGAAAGCGTCGATCTGTTCTAAGTCTTTTATAATTTACTTGTTTTCCTTCCTTTAATTTCTGTCGACGTTCGAAGGTATCGATTACCAATTCCCAGCGTAATGAAAATACTGCGAGGTGATCGAATATTTTTACTCTTCGACCAACGAGGAAGAAAAGCAACCGAGAATAACGTCGACAAATTTTTACGGGGATGTTTATCACAGGGTAGTTACAATTTAGTTGGAATTACAAATAGATCAAATTCTAGAAAACGGTCTACAGGCAATTAGTAATTAAATCACAATTTAATTTCTATCTCCAGCTACCGTTTGCCGCATCTTTTTAAAACCGTCTCGCAAAATTGAACAAGGCGTTTGTCGTTCGCCGAATATCGCTTTTCAGGCACGTTTCAAAGCGTTCGTACGTTTTTTTTTTCTATCGTGATTTCCAATCGATCCGCGGTATTAGAAACAGCTTACAAAGGCATCGTCCTACAAAGAACACAATGAGCATGATTAAAAACAGATGAGCGTACTTCCTTTTTTTTTTACTTCGAGATACAAAATGTTGAATTCAGTTTCTATGATCTTCAAGAAAAATAATTATTTTTTAATCTCGCTTAAATAATTGAACGTGTTGCAAGGTAATTGATCCCTGCAATATCGATAACTGCTATACCGACTTGGTACGGAGGGGTGCGGAAGTATCGATGTAACGGTTCAGTAGATCCTTGCGCAGCGTCGGAGTGCAAACACGTGTATAGTTAATATTTTCGTAACACCGTATATAGACAGACTGTGATTTTGTTAGTTTTCTTTATCGTTTATCCTAAACGGAAGACCCGTTGAATGAAATATATAAGAGAACGTTACGAGTAGTAAGTATACGTATATTTTTCGAACTCGATCAGCCGTTTAGGTTAGAAAATACGGGGGAGCTGTAAACGCGACGGTGTAAGCACGGAATAACGTGATAACAAGCTTGAATAAATAACGGAATTTTGGGCACGTAATCGCGTGAAGCCCCCGAGATTGTCGATGCCCCCCTCCGGGGGCGAGATCTACGGGCAGAAACGAATTCTTTCCGTCGGCAATTCTAACGGGCGCTATTATTCCGACGATTGAACATGCAGAACCGGCTCGCGAACCGCAGAATGCGCCCGATTGTTAACGTTCAGACGCGATTCCGTGTACCACGGTATCCGCGTTGATTGGATCGATTGTTCCACCCCGACCTCGGACGCGTCCGTCTTTTTCGGCTTGATCCATGCTCCGCGTCACACCGCTAATTTCGGCAACGATGTACACAGGGATAAGTCAACGAACACGCGACACTCCGCCAAAGTAAAATTGCAAATGCAAATAAAAATTGAGAACCGGGTCCTCCAAACTATTCAGTCGATGCATACGAAATGTCGGATTTTCTGTATCCTCGTCTACTGGAACAACTTGTTTCTTTCGGAAAGCTCATGGAATCACCTATCGTTCAATTTTAATTATACAGGATGTTCAGCCACAACTGGAAAAAATTTTAAGAAAAAACAAAAAATTTAAAGTCGTTCTAAAAAAATTATTTTCGATTGCAGGGGTTAATTACGATCATTTTTAGTTATTACACATACCCCCGAAATCCTACGCACTTTCAAGAAAAAAATTCGAGAAGGTGTGCAATTTTTTGACAAAATTAACAAATTTCAAATCGTTCTGGAAAAATTATTTTGGTCACGGGGGTCAATTACGATCATTTTGGGTCATTAGACATACCCTCGAAATCCTACCCACTTACGAGAAAAAAATTCGAGAAGGTGTGAAATTTTTCGACAAAATTAACAAATTTCAAATCGTTCTGGAAAAATTATTTTGCTCGCGGGGGTCAATTACGATAATTTTGGGTCATTAGACATACCCTCGAAATCCTACCCACTTACGAGAAAAAAATTCGAGGTGTGAAATTTTTCGACAAAATTAACAAATTTCAAATCGTTTTGGAAAAATTATTTTCGGTTGCAGGGGTCGATTACAATAATTTTTGGTCATTACACATACCCCCGAAATCCTACCCACTTTCGAGAAAAAAATTCGAGAAGGTGTGAAATTTTTCGACAAAATTAAAAAATTTCAAATCGTTCTGGAAAAATTATTTTAGTGGCAGGGGTCGATTACAATAATTTTTGGTCATTACACATACCCCCGAAATCCTACCCACTTTCGGGAAAAAAAATTCGGAACAGTCGGAACTTTAAACGTTAATAACTTTTTAACGAAGCCTCCATCAACAAATCGGTATTCCTGATTTTCGTCTTATTTTGGCGTCTAGAATCCCCCATTAAAATTTTTCCCAGGGTTTGTCGTAAAGTCGCGTGCAATAAAGTCCCCGCGCTTTGAACAGATATCGGAACCAGCGACGATTTTATTGCGTAATAAAACATTGCGTCCGCGCGTAAATGTCAAGGTATTTAATCGTGCAGATAAAGACACGTGTCGTTGAACGTACCAGTTATCTGGGAGCCAGGACCATATTCGGACGACGAAGCCGTGAACTTATAGGGGCTGGTATCTAAGGGTTGTGACCTTGCTTGACCGTGATTTGGCTCGTTAGCTCGACCTGGTTTCACGCAAGTGTCCACCGGTGCTCCATCGGGGAAACTATACGCGACAAATGCCGAGGAAGCCACGACTAGGATGCTAATCGCTATGTTCCTCATAGTCAGGCTCGTTCCTCGTTCCACGAGTGTCTCGTGACCTTTTGTGTTCGATGCTGAGAATTAATTTCGTGGCTCGAATCAAAAGAATTTAATGTATTCAAATTTATTAGGCCATTTCATGAAAAGTCCTTGCGTTACTAACGAGTTCACCGCCGCCATTTTAACCGGAAACCGTCCGCTACGGGCCACCCTGCATTTATAACAATCGTGTTCGATTTAATTCGATGCTTTTAACTGAATATTTTTAATACGTTGGATAATGCAACGACAGTTAAATAAAAACTACAATTCCCCTCGGAATCATCAAGTTGACACACCCGGGCGAGTTTTTGAAAACGAACTGACTCGAATATAACACGTAAATACGCAAAGACTTATGAAATGGCCGGATCTAGATCGTGCGGTTAATTTAAAAAACTAACGAACAGTTTTAACAAAGATAAAAACGATTAATTGGTTGAGCACTATTAGAAAAAATAGAATTGGTCAATTATGATAAAAGTCGAAATTTAAATATTAGAAGTCTTCGGCTTGTACTTCGGACGAACTCTACGAAAACACATTAACAGTTTTAACCTCTTCTTTACTATTTCTTTGACGTTTCGCGGGTGGCACTTACTGTAATTAAATGAAAGTAAATAACAGGAACTCGAGGCTTTGGTCTACGAAGGAGAACAGCCCGAAAGAAACTGCGCCAGCCGATCTCCTGAAAGCAAGTAAAACGTGGTAAGATCCCACCATAGGATCATAAAAGGCATGTCCAATTCACTTTTGTTAATTGTCACTTTCACCTCGATCCCTTCGTCGATGTTATAACCGACTGTGTGCCGCGGTTTCTGTCCTTGACGATTCATCCGAATCTTTCAGATTTACTTTTTTTCTAATAATTCGAATCGTTCGAGGCGTCGCGAATTTGTTAAATTATTACTTGACGCGTCAACTGTCGTGACAGCCACCCGATGGCCCATCGTTCGATACAACGTGGAGTTTGGTAACGCTTATTCGTACTGATCGAGAGTGTAATTTTATTCGACAATTTAAGCAATCGCACGAGTCGTTTTTACATTATAATTTACAGTTGAAAAATTCGCGAAAGTAGAATTTCATCGTGCGCGATTAGGCGAGATATAATCGCTCAGAAACGTTTCGTACCTCGTGTAGCATTATTAACTTCCAGCGATATTGATTTGAAAAAGGAATAATACGAAGGTATTGTGAAAAAAAACCGCGTGTCTATATCGTGTGCAATTTTCATATTTGTTATATTAATTCGTGGAATGCAAAAACGTGCATGTGTCACGCGTTCTACATTAGCAATACACGTTTGCACAGGAAATACGGTGCGTTCCCCTTGGTCGCTGTTACTTTTCACAGTGTTATTGATTTTCTGCAAGCTTTCAGTGCAACGCAATATTAAAGCATAGAAATATTCATGGTTAGTTTCTTAAAACTACCAAACACGCGGAACGCAGTATTCACAGAGTTATTTATTTATTAATTACAATGTGTTGATAAAAACACACGCAATAGAGTGTACTACGTTGTAATCGTTTGCCGAATGAATGGTTTATTCGTTACAAGTGAAAGAAAATACAGGAAAATGTAAATTATATAAATTCATAGACTTCCTTAATAAACGAGTAAAATACGGCACCGTTAAAAAAATTAAGTCGATTATCAAATTCTCTATTTACAACGGTCACTATTAATGTATATACACTGAACACTAGGCTGTATATGTATTAAAAAAGAAAAAATAAAAAAAAAACTTATACGAGCTCATTTTGTGCTAATTTTTTTCTTATTTTGTACAATAAATATACCAACTGACACCTCGAATGGTTCAAATTTTCTTCTAAAATAAAACTTCTAATATTAGACCACTGAAACATATGAAGACACTCATCCCATCATTGATACTTACATATAAAAACACTAGACAAAAATATTATCGTTCGTTCAACGACTTATCTATAAATATGTTAAAATTCTACATAGAGAGAAGGAATGTTTCAATCTGATTTCGTTATGGCGGAAATGTAAGCCTCGTTTTCGATCACTTCGATCGCGCAAGGCCGCGGGAACCAACCTCGTTTTCGTATTTCCCTATCATTTTCGTCATCCTGTTTCCTTTCCCCAAACAACCAATATCTGTGAAAACATTTTTAATTAAACAATAACTTTAACATTCATTTCTAATTAAATAACTTTTTAAACGTACTTCCTCCACCGTGTTACGATTACAATGTCTCCCGTTTTGAGTTTAATACGGGGTTCATCCGTGCAAGGCGGATGGCAAAGTACACCCCAACCATATCTAAATGGCAACCATGATCCAGAAACTTCTTCCGTGACTCTATAAGTTTTAGCTCTCTTACGTTTATCTTTCTTTTGAGCTAACTGTTCTCGCTAAAATGTTGCCAAAGCGAGCATACTTTAAATTTTATTGAAGTATTCGGAAACTGAATATACTTATAAATCATTTGATAAATATTTACAGTTAACGTATATTGATCACAGCCTTCGATTACAGGCCAATGAATTCCATCTCCCATTGGAGTGCAATCCCATGTAAAAACCTGCTGTATATTTGTACGCCACCCCTTTGAATATGGATAAATGAATTTGTCCTTAGTACCAAATCTTCGATAGTGGGCTTTTTCTGAAATCCAAGCTTCAATTTCTGTTCGATTTTTAATTACGGCTAGCAGCTACAAAAAGTACATAAACAATTATGCAACTATATAAATATAAATTTGGTAACAGCAATAAGTGTTTACCTGGAAATAAAATAATGTCCCAACTGCAAGAACAACGCCAATTGATAAACCAATGCTGAAGATTACTAATATTAGAACAAATATAGAAGGTGGTGGAAATGATAATGGTCTTAATGATAACACGGTCATGATCCAAGAAACTAAAGTAAAAGTGGAAACGCAGCATCCACCAACTGCACTTGCCAGGAATGCTGTAAAATGTCCATGATTCAAATGCCCGACACAATTATTTATCCATGGACAATGATGGTCCATCTTCATCACGCAACGACCACCTAAGAATTAAAGAATAATATAATAAAATCTATGGAATATCGATATTAACAGACTTATCAAAATCTCACACTTTCGACAATGATGAGATCTTGGTGCTTTATACCCCTTGCACACAGAACAATATTGTAAAAATTGTGTATCTGTTGCCGTTTCCTGAAAAGACAAATATGGTTTTATGTTTATTTTCTATAGAGATATCTTATGGTTCTTTTGAATCTCTATTCTTAAGACGTATATCAAAATACCGGCATCCATTTTAATGGAAGGAATCCTGGCCCTTCATAAATTGAGCTGATGAAATGGAAGAGAGTAGAACCACTGAGACAAAAGAAAAGCATAAAATTAATTGCTCCAAACAAACTCTCTTGTGGCGGCCACCATTGTCTACTACAATGTATTGTCATCAAAGTGATTAGTTTTATAATTCCTAAAAAAATATTATGAAGTACATAATATTAATAAAAGTAGATACAATTTAAGTGAAATAGTTTAAGCAATGCATGTACTTATGTAGCACATTTACATACGAGATACCGGAATTACATAAAACAACAAAAAGTTTTAGAGTGATTCAAACCTCGCGGAATTCTTTCGTAGCATGTACAAAACAAAATGGAAGCAGTTATCTGTCAAGTTCGACCTATCATGATATTTTTACGTACAATTTCGCTATTGCACAGTGACAGAACATAACCAAACCGTTAACGTATCGCTTTAAATATTATCACTTCTAAGTTTCCAAATTGGTAAAACCGTTTGTTTCTTCGGAGTTCGATAATAAACGGATCTATATTGATATCTTCGATTCACCTACCAAGAGCAGTAAGCGGACCCCAATGGCATATTTTGTTAAACGGTTCGACGCACATGCCGTCACCATGAAACTATTATAAAATACTCGTTAAATTCTAGAAAACAGGAATCTGATACGTCTGTTACGAATGAACAATTCTTGTGATCGTTTATTAAATCTGTAGAATTGTATTTCTCTCTGCAACACATTCCGTTACAATTTATATATCTCAATGTTGGCACCAATGTCGAATATTCTTTAAAATTGATGGTTTCTTCGTTGTGATTAAAGAGAAAACCATTGTGCAGAGCAATCGTGTATTCGATACAGATTTATCAGAATATATGAATAAAAATTGGAACATAATCGTTATGTCGAAGTAATATTAAAATTGTTATTCATTAATAGTATGAAGGTGTCGTGCGAGATTCCAATACCGGCTGCCATATTTTTCGTAGACCCTAATGTCCGAATATTATGACTAATGTTTAAATATACAATTACTTCGGTATAGATAATTTACTCAGATCACAATGAAATCTTCAAATCAATGAACTACAATAACCGTAGCAATATCAAAATTGAAATGACGATCAGCCCCGATTAAATGTAGGAAAAAAACCCGCGAAATCGATTCAACTTTCTTCGCGATTCCGATTCAATTCGTAATGGAAATGTATTAATATTAAACGAAGGCATCGTTAGACAGTGGTACAAAGTAGTAGTAATTAGATAAAAAGCAATTAGATGTCGATAGATAAAATTAAATCGCTTATAATTTTATCCCGCCAATTTCCATGTAACGAATCAGAACCATTCAGCACTCGTCTATGGTACATGAACAGATTTATGTCCTATCAATCTTACAAAATATTCCAACAATACCTTCTAACCATTTTCATAATTTAATGTTGAAATAGATGCAATTTAAAATATTATAACAAGGTATGAAGTATTATAGACTGAGGGTACTTCCCCCATTATTTTACCAATCACATATATATGTCAGTTTCTTTGTTTTACTTGATGAAAACATTCGATTACAGGTTTACCAATACTATGAATATGTGAATTATTTATGCAACATTCAGTAATATCAATAACAAAATTTTAGTATATGTAATCCGATTATAACTTGCCATGAAATGAGACGTATTATTTTACAGGTTATCTGTACCTTATATAATTAATTACATCGTTCAGTAATCTTGAACATTGTACGAGATCTATATTGTTAGTGTAATAAAACTTACAAGATCTGTTTTGAAACTATTAGATTCATTCGATCGATAATAATGTAAATATGGATATCGATGTATGTATATTTGTTAATTTTTTGATTTGCGACAAACGTATTTGAAATATCACAAAATAAAGTCTAACGCATTTTTTTCAGTCTAACAGCGAAGTAGAACATTTTAAATCATGTGTTCCTAAAGCACGTTTACCCTTAAGAAAATTGAATACATCCGAGGGAAAAGATTCTTATTCTTTTCAAAATACTAACAACTTAAAGATGCAGGATAATATGCGTAAAATTGAGAAACAATATCAAGCATATCTTAACAATGATAACAATGATATAACCGATGATGAAGAAGATGATGATAGCGACAACAATATTAATTTATCAAATGACTCATTTCACAGCGTTGTATTAGATTCATCGACTAAAACATATAATATTTCTGATAGAACAAACTTGCAAAAGCGACATATTCGAACTCCAAATACTAGCCAATCTTTAAACAACACCAATAATTCTCTGTCTTCGAATGAAAAAGTCAGGAAACGTAAAACAAAAGTACCTGAAAAGTACAATTATTTCCCACTATGTACTCTTATCGTCGGTTTAATCATAGTATTGTATATTATTGTATCTTATAAAACAACAACTCAAGAGGCTAATATAATAGAGAATGAAGTAGAAAATAATGAAACAAATAAACAGAATTTAATTGATGTAGATAAAACATTAGATGAAAAAATGAAACTAATTCGAAATCAATTTTATAATCAAAGACCAAACATTTGGAACGATATATCATCTGGGATATATGAAGTGGCCTTGTATCCTCAAAAACCTTCAGTTATTATTTTGTTTGGAAATGAGACAGCTACTTTGAATTGTTTAGCAAATTTACTTGGACAATTAAGTAGTATTATTTTAGGTAGAAATGATTACTTAACTTTAACTCCCAAAGATTTTCCAAACGATTTTGGTGAAACTGTTTATAATTTAAAAGTACAAATTTCCAAAAACCGGGCAGTAGTAAGTATCTTATTCAATTTTTTCTACATTTTTAATCTGTTGTATGGGGAATATACTTTCATAATTTTGCATGTTCTAGGTAGTTCAAGATTTGTTGAGCATCAACAAAGAGGCAATAAAAGCATTCCATAATTTATGCGATAGAGAACATCCATTGATTCAGCATGCTATTTATATAATAACAATTGTCGTTGATGGATACAAGCCAATGCAAAAAGAATTAGAATTCATTGAAAAGCAAATGATGAAGGAACTGTCTAACAAAATAGAGAAAGATATTTTGGATCCTCTAGTAACTCGACTAACAGACGGAATTGTCGTGCAGGTATTGCCAGAATCAGCTGTAAGTTTTGATCATAAAAGCTGCTCTTTTTCTTAAACATCATAGACCATGGTACCTTGACAACATTACAAAATGATTATTATATAGCATTATAGTATAGTAATAACTTAGCAAGTAAGAATTAATAAAATAAGTTGTTGCAGTTTTCGTAATTTGAAGTATATTTATGTACTTAACATCGATTAAATATAAATGCTTGTGTATTAATATTCAACTTTATTTCGTTAAGTCAAATGACAATACAGAAAATCAACATCTTTAGATAAAGATTTCCGATGGTGATTTGGCGGTTCCTACAAATTTTCGAAAAATATAACAACAAGATCGATGCCTCAGGCATGATTTCAGTTACGCTCTTAAATGACATGTTTGTTCAGCTTTAAAATAACACGCAATGAATAGATTCACTTCGTACACGTTATACCGTGGTTTCGTATTATCGTATAGTACGTCGATCTGCAGTCCACGTATCGTTATTAGTGTCCCGAATTGCCAATTTACAATGCGTTACTACTAAATTGCGGCGCGAATGTAATCACATAGGTTTATTTTAAATTACATCGAAAATAATATTAAAACTATATACAGGGTTGTACGGCCAACCCTGGGAAAAATTTTAATGGGAGATTCTAGAGGCCAAAATAAGAGGAAAATCAAGGATACCAATTTGTTGATCGAGACATCGTTAAAAAGTTATTAATGTTTAAAGTTCCGCCCATACTGAATTTTTTTCCCAGAAATTGGGTAGGATTTCGGGGGTAGGTCTATTCACCAAAAATGCTTGCAATTGACCCCTGTAACTAAATATAATTTTTTTATTATGATCTGAAATTTTTTAATTTTCTCTATTTCAGTACCTACTCGAATTTTTTTCTCGAAAGTGGGTGGGATTTCAGGGGTATGTGTATTGACAAAAAATGATTGAAATTGACCCCCGCAACCGAAAATAATTTTTTCAGAACAATAAAAAATTTTTTAATTTAATTTTTGAATAACTTTTTAGCGAAGCCTCGATCAACAAATTGACATTTTTGATTTTCGTCTTATTTTGGCCTCTAGAATCGTCCATTAAAATTTTTCCCAGGGGTGGAAGAAACACCCTGTATATCAGGAATAAATTTCAAAGAATTCTAATTTTGTAGTCGATGAAATTAAATAAGTCAGAAAGTTATTATGATCATTGTATTAAATTTAGATAATATACATAAAATGCATTCGTATGTTTGTTCAAGTTAAATTAAGCGAATTGTTCAATTTGTGTAGACTAATATTAATATAATTAGTTTGATAATAAAGTTTTCGAATACTTTTATCACATGTTATTTAAGAATAGTGTGCACAACATAAAATAAATCTTTTCCAATATGCTTATATCCTATTTGGTAAGCACTTTATAAATTGGCAACAAGTACTCGTAAGTATCCACCTTGCTAAAGTACCGTCGTTAGCAAAGTGGTCGCTCACGTTCTTATATTATAGTCCTTCTCTGTCGTAATAATTCAAGTCAGTAACTAAAAGTAGGTAATATATATTTATATTATCTTGTATAATATAGTATGGTACCGTCAAACCTAAATAATAAATACATTTTATACAGTCACAGACCTTTTATACAGAATGTCCAAAATTTAATGTGCTGTACAATTGCGATACGATCGATCCTCGTCATACGCGTAATTCGCGTTGATCATGCTCGCATAACAAAACGGAAACATATTTAATTAAGTTTCCAAAATATTTATAATTGATCTCGTACAAGCATAATTTAAGACTAAAAATTCGTCTGTTAGAAATTTGTGACCACGATTGAAAATGTAATCGTTAAATATTTTGTATTCGTAATTTTGATACGAGTGCAGAAACATATTGAAATCGCGCGATTAATTTACTCCATTGTAATCAACAGAATATTTTAACAATGAATGCATCTGTACCAATAGAGATGAAATAAAAGTAATCACGCCAATCAGACGTAAGTGTTGTTTCGTTTCTTAAGGGCACTCTGTATAGAATAGCCTTAAAATTACAAGATACGTATTTACAATAAAAAAGTTTAATTGGTCATGTTCCTACCTAGTGTAGTAAGGAGGTGAGTACTGCGTTGCGTAATGTTGTCCGTGTTGGCTACGTAGTCGCGTACTTCAGTCGTTAGTGTCTTGCCAGTTGTGCAAGTTTTTTTTTTTTTTTCGTAATTCTGAGTCAGTCATACGTCGTACGAGGTATAATGTCTGCCTCGATAGTAAATCGTCTTGATCATTGTTTTCGTACTTATCCGTTTCTACTTAAGCACTAAGATATTTATTTTGTTAATTTCAATAAACTGAACATTTCATACTAAATACGTTTATGTATGAGTTTCGAAAAATGAGCCAGCCCAAATCATTTCGATGCCCGGGTGAAAAGCACCGTCACGATTCCAGCGTTAGGCTCGCAGACGCAATCGCGTTGCCATAAACATAGAAAGATGCGTATGGTGTAGCTAAAAGTAAGAAGAGAAAACCATTTAAAATAGCTGCATACAAACATTTTACTCATTTTTCTTCAACGTCGAGCAAAATAACTGATCACTTGGAAATATCACTGATATTTCGTTTCAGATACAAATCGGATCCAATGTATATGTAGAAATATACCACTCTTTGCAACTGATCGATTTTTCATTTTCAGAGATTGTCCCGTCACGAGAAATAGTCATAAACGTAACGAACGAAACAAGATCGAATTCGGAGATACATTCGGGAGTTTTAATTAATATTAACTTATTAAAACTCAAAGCCCTGGACCGGTAGCTGGGATGAATCGGGCGCGCCGAATTGAAACTGATATCCCTGCGAATCTATGGTGGGAACGATTCGCGTATCTTCTTCGTCGGAACCAAAATATTGTTCAATTATATTGAAGGCCTTCTGGTAGATTTCTATATTTTGATGAGATTGCAAAAATTCTATTTTGTTTAGGCCTGAAACATCATAATAATATCGTTTAGTATAGAATTTGTTTCTCATCGAGGGGCGTTTTCAAAAAATTTCATTCCCCAAATTGTATATTTACCAAAACATTCCTCGACTAATACCGCGAACTGATTAACACCGTTACTCGATGCATCTTGATTTCCGACTCGCAATATATTTTCTAAACCGTTTAACGCGACTAGAACAACCTTGGGATCATTGACTGTCAATAAATTGCATAACGGTTGAATGCACCCTTGTGCAACAAGATAATGCATTTGCTCGGGTGTACCGCCACTGGTAGCATTAGTGATTGCCCATGCTGCTTCCCTTCTAGTTTTGAAATCAGCTTTTCCCAACATTTCGATTAGGACGGGGAATATTTGGGCGTCGATAATAGCCTGTTAAGGAATACACGTACGCGGGTTTCTTAAATAATGCGAAAATTGTGTTGCACAGATTCTTTTTAATGGCGTATACAAAACCTGAATTTGATGAGTATTTCCTGCCGTAATGTTAGACACTGCCCAACAAACCTCTTTACGAACAGGGTCTCGTGTTGTGATCAACAGATGTAATAAACAAGGTAATGCAGAACAGTTAAGAATGACTTGCGTTTGTACATCGTCACCTGTTACTATATTTCCCACGGCTCGAAGAGCCGCACTTATTACACTGGTGTCCTGATGCCTAAAAACACCATTTTCACCTTGCACAAATTTACCAGGCAGTATCGAGTCCTATACACACCTTTAAGAATTCTATGGGAATCAAATCAGTGGATAACCGACTATGTACTCACATAAGTAATTCTACAAGACGTCTGCATACACCTGCGTCTATAACTGCCTGAATTTTATCGTTCGGCCCGTCGCTTAAATAAGATAGAGCCCAGCAGGCATCGGCAAGAATATCACGGTCGTCGTGAATAAGAAGACGAGCTAAAACTGGCAAACATGGCGCGACTTTCTCGAAAGTCGGTGATGGATTTTTTCCTCGACAAAGATTTGATAATGCCCATACCGCGTTACGTACCATCGATAAACGCGTTGCCTTGGAAAGAAGACTAAAACGAGAACATTCACTTAAGGTATCTCGGTGAAAGTATCCTTTATAAACGAGCTCACCCAACACGCTCGCGTATAAAAAAAAAAATTGTTATTTAGTAAAGTTGCATGATTTCGAGGAAGGCGACGACGATTCTGTAAAAACTTACTGTAACAGTGGAGTGAGAATTCCATTGTCTAATACGTGATCTCTGCATTCAGGACTGTCTCCTGCAATATTGCCCAATGCCCAAACAGCTTGTTCCTGAACGTCTTCATTCTCGGAATTAAGTAATGACACAAAGGGCGGTACAGCCCCCGCCTCTATCACTATACGCGTATGTAGAGACGTTCCACTTGCTATATTCGTTAAAACCCATGCAGCTTCAAACTGGAATCACCATGCACATTTACGGCTTTTAATTTTATTCGTATAAATGTAATTTTCAAACTAGGGGGTCGCGACCTCCAGAAAAAATACCTTACAATCCATGGGACTATCTCTTGTATTACTTTAAACATTTCACTAATCTTATTTAACACGTTAACTGCCGCGGTGGTCACTCGTGACCGCGGCATTTCAAACTTACATGTTTCGATATTGTTTACAACGGAAGAACTGTACTAATTATTATGCTTTAAAATAACAAGTTAGAATAACTATTTTTACTGTGGAAATTCACTTTTCTTTGTATGGAGATTCAGGGATTTTCTATGATTTACTAACCTGAAGAGTACAGCTTGTATTATTTTTTAAAAATTCAACGAATATAGGTACAACCCCTGTTCGTACAACTTCATCGATTGGTGGGTTCGGCTCCTTGGATAGCATTTTTCTAAACTTTTGAGTAGCTACCAGTTGCTCTTCTAGATTATTGCTACTTAATGCTTGCAACATTTTTGATATTATGATAGAAGCTTCCTGTAGAACAAGTAATTGAAGAAATTTTAGCGTTAGCTTAATAATTTCCATATATTTGGCATCCCTTGGCATTTCTAATTTTCAACAGTAGGATTTACCGATTGCGACGCCGAAAAGAAATCGTCGGATGGAACATTCTCTTCATCGAAAACGGTGTTAGGAACATTGCGCCTCTTTGACAATTGTTGTTCTCGTTTTTGTTTCCTTAATTGAACTCCTTCCTCCTCCCTACGCCGTCTTAATTCCTGTGAGTCTAGGCCCACATTTTTGTAACGGTATTTGTGAGTAGTTGGAGTAGACATCTGGGAACACAAATAATTTAAATTTTACGGGGATAAAGTTTTTGCACCTGAATTGCTATTGTTATTGGTATTATATACTTTTATTGTTGCATATTTAATGAAAATGTATTAGAACAGTAACTTTAAACAATGCCCCCTAAAATACACCCAATGTAAATAATTAAAGAAATCACATACATTATATAACACTTATGGCTCCTTTATAAAAATAATATTATCGTTACTGACATAAGGAGGCTGTACATACAAAATATCAATGCATCCGCTGCAAAAAATATTAGTCAACATACAGCTAATGGTTACCCTTATAAATTTTTAGTTAGAACAATATACAAAATTAGATGTAATTTATTGCAAGTATTTTTATAGAAATATTTTCTAATAATCGTGGCTTTATTGAATTCGTTAACAATATATTTGATGACATCACCTACACTGTCATATATTAATACGTATGTAGAAAAATAATATTATTAGAATCTAAGTAACGATATAATGATAAATACATTCAATTTCATCTTTGCCAGAGTTAATGCTGTTTTAGTAAAAGAAAAATTATCATTGTAGTAGATAATGCTAGTGATATGTAAATGGTTCAACAGATCAGACAATTAAATGCAAGACAAAAACAACAATTATGCCAAGGCACACGAATGCACTTAATCAAACACTTTTCATAATCGTGAGACAAAATTGAGTGAAAACGTATAAATTGTTCCTGAGTTAGTACTGGAGTAGTCGATGGGGTATAGGAATACCTTGAAACTGCTTGACAATGGGCTATTGAGGGTTAGGTATTAATCGGCAACGATGTCGAGGGTGGGGTGTATCCTCGAAGATACTAGTTCCAGAAGGAGACGCAATAAAGACCGCAGGGTCGAATGATCCTAAGTATCTGTCTACGAGACGGTTATACTCTCTATAATAGATTGGCTAGATTAGACATTTTGGCGTAGACGGAAACAGAAAGACTGACATTCGCTTGGAATCGTCTCGATCTTTTATGCCCCTTTGCGATCGTATGATTCCTGGGACAATCGTACGATACAATATAATCGATCTAGTACTTACGGCTGTGAAAGGACTTCGTTCGTTAAATATAAGATTTCATAAGAATATCGAGTAAGCACCGCCACACTTTTCACCTCCTCAAACTACGACGACCGATCGGAAAACCTTGGTCTGCACTCTAACGCGCAAGGAATCACGGGTCACGCTCGCGAAACGCTGATAGGTCCGTTCGAACAGTCATATTTATCAACTTTTCCAATTTTATTCGGCTAATTACGTCGCGCCCGAAACGAAACGCTCGGAATTCGCTACGAACGCGTAACTTCTAGAAGCACGGCGAAATCCTAAAGTAGATAAGATTTTACGTGAAAAGTTTTCGTAATTCGTCGAATACTCGCGAAATTTGTGGAAATTTTCCCACGGACGATTGACAAGCGCGTTCAAAAAAACATTCGTTCGACGTTTGTCCAGGCGCTGATTGGTCGAAATGCGATTCTATTTTCATTGCTGAAAAAACTTGTAAGCGACGTAATACGAATGCATTTACGAACGCCTCGATGCCGAACGACCGCGTTAAGGTCGATTTACAGTGAGTCACCGCATTATTGGCACACGCAGGAACTGATAGAAATATGAAGGTTAAAAGAATGAATACATTTTTTTTGAAAAATAATATCGTCGTTTATAATTATGTAAAAATAAAAACATACGATTTCGTACATCGTTTGACGACACAAAATTATTGGCACACGTTACAAAGATTAATAAACCTCACAATGCCAATATCTTTTTGGACATCCTTTCCTCTTACCACTTTGGAAAGTCGCTTTGACATTGATTCTACGATTTAAAACAAAGTAATCTTTCTTTATACGACGCCATTTCTCTTCGAATCGATTTTACAATTTTGCTTTACTTAGTTCTTGGATATTGTCATATTTGGTTGTTTAGTCTGTCCCATACCATCTCAGAGGTGGTGTATTCATGACTCTCGAACAATTGTGCATCAGTAATTTTTAAATAATTTCTATTTAGGTTTTACGTCGTTATCTCGTGCATCCAGATATTCATCTGCGACCCCCTTGGGGTCCGCGAACCAGAGGTTAACTTATTGTTGATGGCGGTAAATTCACGCCATCGTAATGCTGTCGTAAGTTACTTATCCAAATTATTATTTACAATGGATCTCAAAGAGTTCCGAAAGGTTTTATTTCCACCCATAATTGTAGGCATAGCTTTCGGTGAGGTGGTAGAGTTTTCATTCAATTCATGCAAGGAAAGGAGGAATTGCGCTATATGCGACCGGATCATAGAGGGACCTTCGAGTTTCCTTGTGCCAACACAAAGGACCTGTTTCTGGCTCAGGTAAGGAAACGAATCATTAGTAGGTGTGGCGATAGTTGGTTCCCCGTCTGCACGAGACTCCACCCACCTATCCGCCTATTTCAGGTTTAAACTGCGTTATCATGTCTGTGGAAACAGATCTCGATGGTCGCCATGCGTATTTTACTATACAGTGTGTTCGGTCACCCCTGCGAAAAATTTTAATGGGAGATTTTAGAGGGCAAAATAAAACGAACACAATTTCTCGACCGAGGCTTCGTTAAAAAGTTATTAAAAAATTAAATTAAAAAATATCAAATCATACTAAAAAAATTATATTTAGTTACAGGGGTAAATTACAAGCATTTTTTGTGAATAGACATACCCCCGAAATCCTACCCACTTTTGCGAAAAAAATTCGAGTAGGTATTGAAATTTTTAGACGAAATTAAAAAATTTCGAATCATACTGAAAAAATTATTTTCGGTTGCAGGGGTCGATTGCAATAATTTTTGGTCGTTACACATACCCCCGAAATTCTACCCACTTTCGAGAAAAAAAATTCGGTACAGTCGGAACTTTAAACGTTAATAACTTTGTAACGAAGCCTTCATCAACAAATTGGTATTCTTGATTTTCGTCTTATTTTGGGCTCTAGAATCTCCCATTAAAATTTTTCCCAGCTATTACTTTAACCCTTGATTCAGCTATTCTTTCCTTAGCCTAGTAGATAGAACAATATATTTCACCATTGTTTAAAATTTCAAATTAACAAATGTTTGGTGTAATTGTTCCTTACCGTATCACTTATTTAACATTATTGCTATAGACAATAGATAACATATTTCGTCTTGAATCGATTGGGAAGTACGACCCTAACCCTAAGCAATTATTAGATATGGACTTTGCGCGAAGTTGAACCTTGAACCGCGTAATCAGCACGCTGACTAAGATGTTTTCGGGAATTTCGACTGTTCGATGGAAGGGTATCGTGACTCAGAGCGGATAACAGATATTCTATGCACAAATAGCAAATAGAAGATGGATTCGAACTGTGCGAATGTGGTCAATGAGCATCGCGTGGCAAAGAACAGAAGCGGGCGAACTCTGCGGAAAGTATTTAGCGGCGAGGAAAGGGGTGGCGGTGGCACGAAGGACGCGCGGAGGGTCGTAGGAGCTATCGGGCGTGAATAATGCGCGGCACCGTCCGTTCCTTGGTCCGTGGGTTCGATTCCGGCTCGGCTGGATGGATTGATAAAGATTAAAGGTAAAGGGAGGTGGCAGGGTCCAGGGGTGTTTTGGAGTTAGGCGACAGAAGTCAGCCAGCGAAACGAATCGGCCGCACACGTATGGAGGGGGATGATGTCACATAGGGGTTCCCCCCTCGAGCGTAAATACATACAGATGCACGGCGAACTGATGCATCGAGGCTGGGTACAGTGACGTAGGCAAAGGGATTTTTCGAAAATCGACTTTTACCCTCGAGACATCAAAAAAATTATTTCTCACGGTTCATCGAACTTTGTACGTGGAATCGGAACGAAATATCAAAAATATTTCTGATCACGAAAGGATCGAAATCATTTTAAATATTAATCACGCGACATATTATGCATCTACCTTGCCTTTGAAGCTCGCGAGGCGAGAAAATTTCGTGGGGGGCGCCCGCATCGAGCATCGGCGACGCCCGGCGACGAATTAATTCCATTTAACGTCGCCGCGTATAATGCCGTGTGACCGACTGAACGACACTGCCAAAGCGTTTCTTAACGATCGCGTCGAAGGCAACAATGCACGCCAAACGCGTCTGGGTGACCAGGGCTCCGCTTTATCTCGCGTGGAACAAAGGAAATCGTTACGCGGACGGCGTGGCTTCACCGTCCGCGAAACGCAATATCGTGGAACCTGCCCGACGAAACGACCATTTAAAATGAAATACAATTCTCGTACTGTGAAGAGAAGAACGATCGACGCCGGGTGTCTCCGGGCGCAACGGGAAATGGAACAAGACGCGATCGACGAAAAGACTTTGAATCAGCAACGCTGTTGTCTCGACGACCAAAAAACCCCGTTCCATCTACGTAAATCCTCCTAAACCATAATACTTGTTCTATTACGTGCTCTTAACCCCTAGCTCGTTACAAATTCCTAATGTCAAGTTTCACAAATCATGAGGCTACATCGTCGAGTCTTGTATGTTAAAATCAACACATTTTTATATCGACGAGGTATTCATAAATCAAGTCTATTCGAACTGTACATAAAATTGAATACTTTTGAAAAATTATTTGGAATTAAACGCCAAGGGGTTAACCCGCGATAAAGTAAAAATTCTATAACGTCTGAATATTTGCTCGATTCCAAACGAGAAAAATAATTTTTGAAAATACGTAGAAAGATTCATTATGCGATCTGACGGATAAGAATTTTAATTTAAAATAAAAGGGTGTTCGGTTTCCATTGTATGGGAAATAAACATTGGTGGTCTCGCGATCCTAGCGTGTCCCCGGCGGTCGTCATAATAAATCCTTTCCGGGGCTACGCCAATGCGAGCAGCACGGATGACTCACGCGATCTCTCTGGCAGCCTCCTTTGCGCGATCCCGTATGGTAGTCATGCACAATGGAGAATAGTAAACGCAGTAAAGGTAACTCGCATAGAACAGGGTCCAGGTTCCCCCTGTGTGCGAGTACCCGCGGGGTCACGTGCCACGATTTTCACCCCCGTAAAACCGATTGCCAGTCTGCGAGTATCTGGATCTTTGCAGTAACGTTCGTCCAAGCGATTTCGCACGGGAGGGATGGAACGCTGACGGACTTCCTTGAATAAAATTAACGAGCGAACGTGCGCCCATGTGGCGTTCACTCTTAAACGCCGATCGTATTCTATTCCTTTTCTCCTCGAATTTACCCTGCTATTTTACTTCCACCATTTTAGAATGGACTGGCGAGAAGAATGGAAATCAAAGCAGTTATCAAAATTACAATTTCATTATAGAATTTATTGAATTTATAGAATTTATTATAATTTATGGAATTATCTCCAATTCCAATCGAGCTAATTTTTAACGCACAAAATAATGTTTCTACTCCCATTAGACTGTCAAAACGAACTGGTACAAAAAAAGGAAGATTAAAAATGTCTCATAGTATTGTCGCGGATTGTACACAGAAAAAAAAATTTTAATGGGAGATTCTAGAGGCGAAAATAAGACAAAAATCAAGAATACTAATTCGTTGATGGAGAATTCATTAAAAAAGTTATTAACGTTTAAAGTTCCGCGCGTACTGAATTTTTTCCCAGAAAGTGGGCAGGATTTCGGGGGTAGGTCTATTCACCAAAAATTACTGTAATCGACCACCGCGACCGAAAATAATTTTTCCAGAACGATTTGAGATTTTTTAATTTTGTCGAAAAATTTCACACCTTCTCGAATTTTTTTCTCAAAAATGGGTAGGATTTCGAGGGTATGTCTAATGACCAAAAATGATTGTAATTGACCCCCACAACCGAAAATAATTTTTCCAGAACGATTTGAAATTTGTTAATTTTGTCGAAAGATTTCACACCTTCTCGAATTTTTTTCTCAAAAGTGGGTAGGATTTCGAGGTTATGTATAATGACCAAAAATGATTGTAATTGACCCCCACAACCGAAAATAATTTTTCCAGAACGATTTGAAATTTTTGAATTTAGTCAAAAAATTGCACATCTTCTCGAATTTTTTTCTCGAAAGTGGGTAGGAATTCGAGGTTATGTATAATGACCAAAAATGATTGTAATTGGCCCCCACAACCGAAAATATTTTTTAATTTAATTTTATTAATAACTTTTTATCGAAGCCTCGATCAAGAAGATTCGTCTTATTTTGGCCCCTAGAATCTGCCATTAAAATTCTTCCCAGGGTTGGCCGAACATCCTCTATACAAATGAGGCGAAGCAACCACGTTGGGTGCACGATCGAAACGTTCTCGTGGATTTTTGAAGTTCAAACGCGTCAGAACGTACAACAGTACGCGTCACCAATTAGCTCATGGCAGCGTCCAACAGCACCGTGGGTCTTCAATTAGAGAATTACGGGGCTA